CTGAGCCGGTGAGATTTGAACAGCCGAACTGCAGAACTGAAGTCAGCTGAAGTAGCCTGCAGTGCTGCATTTAACCACTGCGCCACCTCGGCTCTTAACTATCAAAACTCTGCCCCTTTGTACATGTGCACTATCGTGTTACACAAGCAAAAAAAACCATGCGAAACAATTCAGTGGATGCCACTGGTATCAGACAATGTTTTAGTCTTTGTTAATTAAAAAAAATCCCCAAGAATACCACATTCTTGTGAGTCCAGTTTTCACTATTGATTATGTAGCATCACAGTGGTATCAGCTTTTAGTGACCACATCGTTTTATTTATGATAATTTGCTCTAACCTGGTGTTTCAGGCCTTCCAGTGGTGTACTTCTTGTCACCATATCTGAGTCCATCCATCTTGCTGCTGGTCATCTCAGGTTAGAGCCTTCTCCAGAGAGCTACGTAGGTCTTTGCAGAGCATGTCCAAAATGCCCACTATTATAAAGGATGTTCTGACATGATTCAGAGCAAGTGAAGAGCCAATTGGATTTGTAGGATGTTAGAAAAACAGGTCAATTGATAGAAAGATGGGTGTGGCACTTCTGAATGAAATTCATCTGGTTGGCTTCCACTTCAACTGGTCATTGCCTTAGATTACCTTAAGTGTAATATGTGATATCAGATCAAACCAGTGGTGGGTCGTGACCCGACAAATGCGTGAACGACAAAAGTGCGCTGACAAAACCCCGGCACTAAAACCACGATGTCATCAATGCGCCGACAACAGTGCGCTGACAACAGCGTGCTGACAGAAGCACAATTTAAGTTAAGGTAAGGGTTAGGGTTAGGGTTAGGGTTACAGCGCGCTTCTGTCGGCGCACTGTTGTCAGCGCGCTTCAGCGCTCATCTGTCGGCACGCTTTAGAACTCGCGGTTTTGTCACCACGGTTTAGTCAGGTGTGCTTTTGTCGTTCATGCATTTGTGGGTGAACCGTGGTGGGTTCTTACTGGTTCGGGTTAGTTCGGCCAAACCGGTAGTGGTTTGGCGGCCTGGGTTGCTGGAACTGGCAGCAGCCCAGGCCTGCCACGCCCCCAAACCAGTTCTCTGGGTAGTGCCATAGGCGCTACCATCTTGCTTTTGGCTTTTGCGCATGTGCAGAACTATTTTTATTGTACTGTGCATGCATGTGCAGTGTGCATCAAGCGTGTGGGTGCATCAAGCGCGCGGTGCAGCCACCAGCAAACCGGCAGTAGTGACTGCCGGAACCCACCCCTGGATCAAACATGCATTTGGAGGAAAGGTAGACCTGAATTTACAACTACAATTGGGACCAGAATTTCAATTGCTAAACAAGGCAGTTGTTAAATGATCCGCACTCAATTTTTTGACCCTTTTTGCAATGGTTGTTAAGCAAATCAATCATACGCTGTTAAGTGAATCTGACTTCCCCCACTGACGGTGCTCGTTGGGAGGTGTCTGGGAAGGCCACAAATAACAATCACAAATGTGCCTGGGATGCTACAGCTGTTCTAAATATATGCCAGTTGCAAGCGTCCAAATTTTGATCACCTGGCCATAGGGATGGTGGAATGATTGAAAGAATGAGGAGCAGTCACAAGTCGCTTTTTCTTTTTTTTTAATTATTATTATTTTAATTTTATCAATTTCATATATACATTCACAATTATATGATCTCATAACTGTTATTAATAATATGTNTAAAGGCATCCCCACTGATCTAATACTCACTAGCTGTATTATATTTCCAAGCTCAGAAGGATATAGGAAGTGGCCCTAGACAAAGCACACCATCCATATTTAATGGCTGCATTCACACAATACATTTGCCCTGATTAGCCCTTTTTGGGGTTCACCCAAGGGACAAAACAGGTTAAGGTCATCTAACATATTAAATCTGTGTGTGTGTGCGTGTGTGTGTGTCTCCCGCCCCCATACACACACAAAGCAACCTTAAACACGCTTAGTATTAATCAAACAAATCAGCCCAAGCTGGATATGCAAATGCAGCAATTAGATTTTTACCTGACTTGGTTAAGCAAATTGTGTAAACACAGCCAATGGGAAAGTCGGCGATTCAACCTCTTAGAATCTTGCAGCTTATTACAATGTCTATTTACTTAGACTGAATCTCATCACGGTCAGGCTGCAGCTTTAGCATTTTAAAATATGCTTCGCTCAAGTCAATACCCTTATGCTGAAAGTCGGGCAGAGGAAATCGCTTCTCAGAACTAACTTCTCCTTCATCTCCAACTTGGTGAAGGGACAGAACGCAACATATTCTTCCTACTCTTATTTTTTCACCCATAGATGACATCTAGGCTAGCTATTAACTTTATCCTGCCGGGTATCCGGATCCTAAAAGCTTGCAACACTTGAAATAACAGGGAGCTTTGAAGATGGAGATAAATGCTTTTTTAAGCTCCATGGGAAAAGCAGGCAACATCCTGATATTTCCCCCCCCCCCCATGTCACAGCGCGCGCACACACACACATCAGAATCATCGTGTGCACAGAGCACCCTGCCAAATGTTGGCCAGGTGTGAAAGGTAGGAGAAGTGCAATGAAAAAACAGCCACCATCATCTTGCAAAAACAGATGGTGCCCACATGCAGGAATTCACACGATGAAATTCAGACTTTAAAATATCTTTAAGAGCACATGGAGGGCAGCAAAGTGCCTGATCTTACACGATAAGACCGCCACATTTAATTCAGGGAGTACGTTCCCATAAGCAACTTTAACTAGATCAATTAAATATCATCCGTTGGTTGCATTTTTTTAAAATCAAAGGACAGGATGGGTGTATCTTACTTAGTACACGGTGCAAACCTCGCCTACGCGATGATATAATGCTACGATATATTGTGCACACCAGAAGAAGAGTTAATTTAGTAACTAGATTTGGCAGGTGTGGGAATTCAACCAGAGAGAAACTATTGTATCTATTCAGAGGACTGATCATACTAATTCTGTATTGTCCAAACTAAATGAGCAAATGTTTCCAAGTTCCTTCCCTACCTCATATCTTCTCTCTATAAGATATGTGTTAACCAATAAGCCTCAATCTTAAATGAATTGGACATTGCCTTAAATCAAATCAAAGTAGTTCTCCGGGGAATCAGTATTTTACACCATTCCTTTCTAACTGGAGAAGTAAGTCGTGGTTTTCGAGACCTTCTCCATTCTTGCCACTAGTTGTAGGACTTTTCGACCCAGATTCCTCATCACATGCAATCCAGTCGCTTCTTACAAAGCCACCCGAAATAAAACAACTGGACCTGCAAGAGAGTTACTAAAGGGATGGAGCCCTAAGAGAAACAGTAGACCACGAAGCCCTAAGAGAAACAGTAGACCTACCGTTTAGTTGTCGGTAGACAATGTCCTCAAGAAGGGACAACCGCTTCAGCACAGCATCTTGAATGGGGTTAGCCGGGTGGGCTGTCAAATTGGCCACTTCTGCCCTGGGATGAATTTCATGGAAAGCATCTCCATTCTTCATCGCAATGGGCCTGCACTTGGCCAAGAAGAGGACAAAGCCAGCCACGGCAATCAAGTTTAAGATCAGCAAGACTTTCACTCTCCTTAGAGAAGCCATCAAGAACTTCCCAATGTGGGACACGTGCAACTGGAACTTCTTCTTCTTCTTCTTTGACAATTACCGGAAGAAGAGCAGGGAAGCTTGGAGGAAGATAACCCAGGATGGAGCCCGTTCAGGAAGAGGCTGATGGTGATGACGAGGACACCTTCCCCATCCTTGCATCTTTGGCAAGTCTCCCTCAGTTTGCACAGTTGGGTTATTTAAAGCGACAAGTGCTGGCAGGTGGCAGGCAAGGGGAAAAGCAGACTAAATGGGAGATTCCCACTCCAGAGATAAAGGTTCGCAAGGCTGGGAAGCAAGACTGTCATGACTCTCTGGAAGAGCCAGAAAGGAAGTTAAACAGGGAGCATCCTTTGCAGCAGAAAAGGGGAACAAGTCCCAGAAAGCTCTTCTCTGTGCCAAACCTCCTCCAGACCTTCTTAGAGGCTACTAGTCTTTGGGAAAAACCAACCACCACCACCCCTTATATTGGGGGAAGAAGGGAAGGTTGCCGGAATTGACTTTGCACACTGCAGAAGACCAAGTTCTACAATGTTGCTGTGTGTTCCAGTCTGACCAGCTTGCCGGAGGATAATCCAGATGAAATTCCAAAATCCTGGGGTAGCAAAAATAAAAATAATAATTTAAAATTTAAAAAAGAAAGGAGGAGGGGGGGAAAGGGCAGCAGAGGACGAGGAGGCTGCTGGATTCTGAATAAATACTCCAGGTCCTTTTTTAATAATAAAAAGAGTTGACCTAGAGAAACCCTGGGACGCAGCCCCGTTTTCCTGGGATTTCTCTTTAAGCCGTGCAAAGGGGAAGGGGGGGGAGCCGAGCAAGGCACGCAGAAAGAGAGAAGAGGAAAAAGGACGTGGCTAGAAATTCAAAAAGGATAACTTTTATTTCTTGGCAGAGAGACGGAGAGAGAGAGTGGGGGGGGGGAGAGAATGTTTCCTTAATAAGAGGAGTTATCTGCAAACTTCTAAATGATTATGATTGGGCGGGGGGGGGAGTGGAAAGTAAGGAACGGATGCTTTTTGCTTCCCCCCACGGGAGGATGCCGGGCCAAAGCACAAAGCCCGCCAAGCCGCGGCTGGAGAGATGCTTGCTTTTAGGTGACAAAGCGAGGGAGGGGGAATACTGGCAAAGAGAGAACGAGATGGGGGAGACGGGGGACGGAGAGAGAGGGGGGAGGGAGGGAGGGAGGGAGAGAGAGAGAGATCCGAACAAACGAAAGAGAAGACCGAAAGGGGAAAAAATCTACCGAGCGATCAAAGAAGAGAAAGCTCCCCCTCCAACTCGAAAGGGAGAGAGAGAAAGGGAGAGAGAGAAAGGGAGAGAGGAAGAGAGAAAAGAAGAGGGAAAGAAGGAGAGAGAAAGGGAGAGAGAGAAAGGGAGAGAGAAGGAGAGAGAGAAAGGGAGAGGAGAGAGGGAGAGAAGGAGAAGGAGAGAAGGAGAGAGAGAGAGAGATCCGAACAAATGAAGGAGAAGACCGGAGGGGGGAAATAAAATCTACCGAGAGATCAAAGAAGAGAGAACCTCTACCCCAACTTGAAAGGGAGAGAGAGAAAGGGAGAGAGAAGGAGGGAGAGAAAGGGAGGAGAGAGAGGGGGGAGGGAGGGAGGGAGAGAGAGAAGGAGAGAAGGAGAGAGAGAGATCCGAACAAATGAAGGAGAAGACCGGAGGGGGAAAATCTACCGAGCGATCAAAGAAGAGAGAACCCCCCCCTTCAACTCGAAAGGGAGAGAGAGAGAGGGAGAAAGAGAGAGAGCGCGCAAAAAGGAAACGAGGTGGTCGCTGCAAGGAGATGCTCTTCGCCGTCCTCCTTTTCTTTTTCAAAGTCTGTAGGTTGCAGCAGCTGGGAGGCGCGAGAGTAGATGGGGAGAAAGGGGAGGCGCAGGTGCTGCTAAGAGGCCCCCCTCGCTTCTTTCTTCTTCCCTCTTCAGCCCCCCTCCGGATGACGCTCCATCTGCCAGGCGCGCATTCCTCTCCGGAGCGCTCGGGGCGGCGCAGGTCTCTGCGGGCTCTCCAAGGGATGCCGGGTGGATGCGCTGGAGAGCAAGCCCGGCGAAGGACCCGGGAGAGGCAGCGGGCACCCCAGGAAATCAGGTCATCGTGGCCTCTGCGGAGCGCGGCCGAGAAGTCTTCCGGAGCGCAAGGCGAGAGGAGGAGGAGGAGGAGGAGGAGGAGCGGAGGCCGCCG